CTCTTGCTGGCGTCCTATCGTCTTCGAAACAACCTCCCCTTCGACGTCTACATCATCAAGGGGAATGACTTATGTTTTTGTAATCTCCGTTTCTGAATTGGTGAGAACTTCTGATGCATTTATGCTTGCAGAATCTTCTTTCCACTCACCAGAATCTATGATAGTAGTTTCATCATCACTTGCACCCCGGTAGTGTTCACTTGAACCCCGGTAGTGATGTTCGTTAATTTCTTCTTCGACAATGTCATCAGGAGTTTCGTCTGAAAGTAGTTCTGTCTCTGCAATCTCTTGTAGCTTTAGAAGGGCATTTGTAGCAGCATTTACAGCCCCACTCATTATTGTTTACACCCCTGCAGAAGAGAAAAAAACATTAAACTTCAATGGCTTCCATTCGGTTCAATAAGGTATGGCATACAGCAGTTAGAGCAACTTCCCACTTATGGCCGGAACAATAAAGTATAGCATGGATGAAAAAGGAAAAAAATGAGAACAAAGAGAAGACAAACACATCTTTCCAGAGAGATTGAGATAATTTTTTTTTGGGTACATTTTTTGGAAATCACGTCTCTTGCTCTCCATGTGCTAAAAACAGTGAAAAGGAGTTTGTCTGTCTTCGTTTTGAGAAAGTGAAGTTGCTGGATCACTATTTTTCAGAGCATGTAAACATGTTCTCAGTTGTGTTCACTGTATCTCAATAGAACACTGTTTTACTGCAGAACAAGATAAGGGCGTTCCTTGGGCCGATTACAAAAGAACAATTTTTAGGGTGAAAATAGAGGACAAGTTGAAGTATTACCTTTTAGGATTCAACCCTGCATAGGTGAAGACAGATTCCATGTGAGATACAGTAACCCTGCAGGCGTTCTTCATGTTGTCAGTTAGGTAGCCTTGGCACCTAGCAATTTCCACCAGGAAATGCATGTCCAGAACAAGCTGTTTTAGAAACAGAAAACCTGATTAGAATATACAACATTACTCAGCAGAAAGCAAAAGAGTAGACAAACACCCAATCTTTCTTAAATGCATTGTATAGTTAGACCATTGTTTACTCGATCCGGTGTTAACGAATAATGTGTGTCAGCTTGTTGCTTTGAACTGTCACATACAGACCAACCTCTTGATCACACTGAATCAATTCAGGAATTTCCGAAAATAAAAAAAAAAGATTATTAAACAGAGTTGCTTTCAGTGACACGAGGCTGAAGAAGGCCATCTACAACTATATGCACAATATATGGGCGCAATTACCAATTACATGAAATATATGGACGCAAGATGTACATATTACACTTCCAAGAGAATTTGCACTTAAAGAATCCGAAAATTTTCCAGAAATAAAATTACTTCCTTGTGCATTTTATGGCAAATTCTAATGCACAAAAAAAAAAAGTTTGAGCGCCGGTGCCCACCAAGTACAGGGAACCCAAAGATCAGTAACTAATGCACCCAAGAAAACTGGGAATAACGCCTCTATGGATTAAGTATGAGGCTACACCGATGGTCGCTTGTATTAAAAGGACCAGGAAAAATTGCAGGGAAGAACCTCTAAGATATCACTATCATTCTACATAATAAGAGCTCTGTTCAACAAACTACATATAATACCCACAAAAAGTTCTGAGCATTAATGCACGCTGGTGACTCTGCAATGATCAGCGAAAAGAACAATAAAAGAAAGTCTTGGATGCATCCAAGGGTGGCAATTGTGTCATGTCAAACGGGTTCATCTATCAAACTATAGGTATCTTAGGTAACAATGGCACGACCTGGCACAACACCGCACTTTTCATCTGTTTAATAAATAGATTATATAGGGTTAAGCAAATTTCACCTAAAATAAAAAAGATGGGTTGGCCAAGGTGGCATTATTATATGAATAAAATAAGAATTGAGTACATAATAAAAACAAGGGGTAGGGTGAATTCCAGATATTCATGAGTCAAATTCATGTCATGGAGCATATTTGTTCGTATTATCAATGAGTCAAATAGGTTCATACTAATATCTCAAACACAACACATTTATTGAAGGGGTTGATCCTGTCAATCCGTTTATGCTTGAACACGGTTAGCCTAAATCAAAACCTTCTGTCAGATTCAAGTGTTGTAAACATATCATGTTGAAATTGCCACCCTAAGATCAATAGGAGCAAGCCAACAGTGAATGTACAATTAACCAAAGAAACCTCCAATGGTAGAAGTATATCCCTGTAAGAGTTATTCACAGCACTCAGATAAAAGAAAGGTTATATACCTGCATGAAATGGTCAAAATCTTCATCTGTCAAATGCTCTTCCCTAATTGTCCAGATATCTTTGTTACTCGAGATCCAATCAAATATGGCCTCCATTAGTTCCCTCAGTAGATCCATCAACCAATCTACTACAACAAAATTGTCTTCTACTAGCTTTTGCAATTTCCTTAGTTCTACAAACAATCCCTGATTAATTCACTCCAAAAAGGGAATTGTGTAAGCTATTATATAATATGCAGCACAGCAAAATACTAGCCTTGATTAATAGACTTAAATAGACTATTGCATATGCTTTCTCAGTCATTACCTTGTTCCCCAGTCCAATGTAGAGAACCAATAACTCAAGGAAATAAAAAACAAAACTAAGACAAATCATGGGTAGGCAATCCTTACATGTTGAGAATGTTTGTTCACCTTTTTCACGGTGAGGCCTTTGTAAATACTACTATTGCATCTCATTCCCTTATGCATCTTTTTGGTCATACTGTTGCATTTCACTCTTTAAGCCACTGTGAAAACCCTCTTCTACAGCCAGTCAAAGCCCATTCTTGGCTGCTTAAGGTAAGCAACACAAACTCTCTTTCCTAGTGTTTTCTCAAGTCTCAACATTAAGTCATTGGCCAAAGTTCTTTCTTCATTGCTTAGACCGATATTTTCGACTGTACAGTCTCCCTTTAGCACCCTAAGACCATAATTATGTAACCCATGTATATTCTTGCAGTTCTAAGAAAAGAAAGGAAAAAAGCAAGGACACAAGAACTACGGTGAGAAAAACACAGTAACCTATTGATTGAATAGTATATAGAGTATTAGATACTGACAAAGTAGAATGGTATACCAACGGGCCTTTGGCCCGTCTAATGGTACCTCTTACCTTGTGAAGACTTTGGAGGCCAAGGCCCAAGTCCGCTGAGCGAAAAAAGTATGGTTAGTTAGTAGGACGGACCTCTATTAGCTTGGATGAACTATACCTTTGTCTCTGGTGTGGATTTGAATCCCCACCAAAGTGCATGTCCTGATTTAACTGATATATAAGTTGAGGGATCGGTTCATTCACATGGGGTTTGCCTTTGGTTCTATTCGGACTCACGAGCCCGAGTGACATAAGCATGCCTCTATTCGCCGGGGATAGGCCAAGGATTTCCCGGTGCCGTTACCCAAAGAAAAGTAGAACAGTGCGTGAGAGAGGGTTAAAGCTATCAACAAATTAATCTTTAAACAATATTAATTTTTGCTTGGAAATAAGAAAGACCAAATTCAAGTGGTACTCTCTTATATCCCTCCAGTGCATCCCAGCAACAAAAACTGAATAACATTGTAAGCAGGCCAAGAAACCATAACATAAACTTCAATGTCAGCCATGCATAATAGAAGGCCACAGTTTAAAAGTTAGAGTGAATACTAATAGAGGTTTACAACAGTGACTTCTAATTTCCAACAAGTTTGTGACTTTTACTGCTTAGGCATACCTGATAACAAACAGAGGGCACCAGATTGCCAAACATGTTAGAACCATCCTCCTGGCTATTGATGCAACTTTCTACAGTAAGTCCATGGTAACCTTCACAAGACAGTATTTTATGTATGAATTGCTCGCAGAAATGAGTTCTAAGTCGACCACAAGCCTCTTCAATATATAGTATATAACTATCGATCTCAAAATTCAAATGATTGATGTTCTTAAAGACATTTCTCACTATGCCAGAGAAAAACTGCACAAGTGTTGATAAGTTGGCTAATAGAGAAACTTGTTGTGCAAGTGTCTCTGCCAAATTGATTCTTGAACCAGCTTCTTCAGTGGCAATCATATCAGTAGCCAGGGCTCTTTCTAGGACGACAATATACTCCATGAAGAGGTCGACGAGTCCTCTGAGGATTGGACCCTCCATTTGAAGGGAAACTAAAGGAGAAAGGTCTGCTGTAATAGCCTGAAACAAGAAAAGAGCAGGTAAAGACAAAAGAAAACACAACCGTGCGTTTAAACTATTGAAGACAACATTTCAAAAAGACATAACCAATTTAAGAAGGAAGGAGGTCATCTTTGCTCCAACTTTACACCGAGTCAATTCACAATAACAGCAAGACACAATGATTTCACCAAGACGCGTCTATATGTAAAAGCAAAGTTCATAAATAACTAAATTATCATTGTGCAACTTTATTAAGAAAACAAACCGATGGTTAAAAGGCCGACTAACCTGTAACAGTGTCACAAACTTCCTGCCGCTGTTAGTCAGCATGCAATATTCTAGTTGTTGACCAATAACCACAGAGGCCCTCCCTTCACAAAAAATTCCTGATACAAGATATCTGCCCAAGACCCAAGCATCAGCCGATGTAAAAATATAGATGACTTTCTTAAAGTGGTCTACATGGATCTGTAGCACCTCTTCCATACAATCACGTATATGTTTTATCAAACATGGCTGCAACACAATTCTTTGGGTTTCTAACAAAGAGCAATAAGCCATTGCAAACTGCACAGCTTCCACTGCTGTTGACAATCCGCCACTAATTTCTGATATTGATTTAATATATTTGTTTAAACAAGTAGAAAATACTTCAGTTTCTTCAAATGCCCACTTCATTAGTTCTGAGGTATATGGAGACGTTTCTCCATATATGACAACAAAACTCCTTGCTGCCTGAGAGATCATAGAAAAGACAAATTTTGCAGTTTCACGAATGTATATGCCATGAAAATTTGTTTTTGAGGACTGCAAATCACATATACCAGACAAAATGCGTGAATGGTAGTACTTAAGCAATAACTTAGCCGCAAGAGAATTGTTGCCAAGTCTGCAAAGTCCAGCCAATGCCTTTTGCAATTCTGCAGGAGGTAATCTAGGATTTTCAGCCACTTTAATCAGTTGGTCAGCGAGCATTGCTCTCCTTTCTGAAATCATGGAGGTATAAGACACAAACACATCAGAGGAAAGATTTTCTTCCAACTGCATACTCTGAAATGTTCCCGCTTCTATCTCAAGAAAAGCAAGAACTTCATCTACCCTGTGTTCTGACAGAAGAGTATCCAAAATTTCTGAAACATCTTCAGTGTGAGCCTCTAACAGGCTCAGAGGGGATGACTTATGTAAAGTCACTCCAATCATTGATTCTACTGTCTCATCTGCTATAACCATCATATAGATACCATCTGTGAGGTCTTTCACGAGCCTTTTTTGTGTAGAAACATGGTGTTTCAATTGCATCAGTTCATTTTCCATGCCTTGCATCTCTTCAAATATTCTGAGAATACATGCATATTTAAATAATTTGGAAAACCCAGGTATAAGAACAAAACCATAGTCATAAACATATTTCATCACACCTTCCGCTTCATATATTAGTTAACTAGAAGAGGCAAAAAAGTTATATTGAATGTTTAGATCAACTCAACTAGCCTTTATACCTTCTCCAAACAAAAAAAAAAAAAAACTAGCCTTTATACCAAACTCCTCCTAGTAAATCCATTACTCAGTGGGTATCCCTGTTGAACACCAAAGTCATCCTAAGTATAACTGGAATTTCTTTTTCAAAAAAGATCGAAATACTCTGCATTTTTACACCAGTCACAGTCAAAACGGATTCAATTGACTTCGGCTCAAATTTGCAGTCCTAAAAAATAGCACCTCCAAAAGGGGTGATATTGAGCAAAGAAATAATAAATTTAAATCCCTGCCAATACTACCAATCCCGATTAAGGCCTTTGCAATCTCCTACTAACATTAAAGACGGTATAAGCCATTTAGCCAAAGGATGTCAAACTCAACCCACCGTATTGGTATAATAACAATTTAATTACACAGATACGTGTATATACATGTGTGTATATAGTTGCATATGAATATTCATAGATATCTACTATGGTCTCAGGCGTCAAGTTAAAAGTTACCCAAGGAAGGCTGAATAATTGGAAAAGATGCTTTTCTGAAAATCCTCATCTGACTCCCTCTTTAGCTCAAGAAGTTCTGAACAAAGATGCTTAATACCCTACAAAGCAGCAAAACATAGAAAAGCGCTCATGAACACATAATGAAGCATAAAACCCTAGCTCGCCATAGAAAATCAGCAGAGTATGTAACAATGACCACGTAAATAAAGACAACTCAAAACCTATACCTTCCCGGTCATTGACTCGATCTCGGACTCGACGTCACCGTCACTGGAAACCGACGAAGAGTCTGAACCGATCCGGCCATTCGTCAAGTCTCCGTCGGCCGTTTCTTCGTTATGATCTCTGAATCGAAACCTTGATGTTGAAGAAGTCGATTCCATTGAGAATCTTGGTACAATGTTGTTGCTGACTGGAGAATTTCAAGGTGAATTAGAGTTTTGAGGATTTGATCATTATTTTCTTTTTCTTCTTCCATTCTTAACGCCGAGCTTTGGTTTTTTCGCTCAGTAATGAGGACAGATAGAGACGGCGTTTTGTTTTCTATCTTTCGTTTTCTTCTTGTATCTTGCCGTCGCAGATTTCCACGACCGTTGCCCTTTTTAGGGTTTTGTTTCCTAAAACGTATGAAAACTAGGCTAATTTCTAGGTAATTCAAAAAAATTTTGATTTTTAATTTTTACCTTTAAATATTAAAAATTTAATTTGTATTCTCAATATTATACATTGAAAAAATAATAATATGAACCTAATCCTGAATGTCTTTAAATTTTCTAAATTGAAACATGTGATTATGGACCTATATGTAAATCTACAAGCTATTGACTCCTCATTTAATAAAATTTTATTTTTGATACATTAACACCCCCCCGAGATTAATAATATTAACAAATCCAAATTTTCTTTAATGCACTTTCTGTGAACTGAAGGTAAAGGGGGTTACAAGACAACTAGAATCATTCCAGGATTTCATTTTCACTGACAGTAAGTAGACACAACCCATGCTTTGAAAACCAACTTACGAAATGAAGGCAAAACTCAAGTTTTATTGCATCTACCTCAAAACTACAACATGTGGAAACTATATTCATAGGAGATAAAAGCATGTTGAAGCAAAGCTTGAATGGCTTCCAGAGGTAAAGGGTTTACAGATATCTAATCATCCGAAGGGCTCAACTGGTACGGTCTCTTAAAGGAGTGTGGCATCCTCCAATGGTGATGCATTCAACACCTTCGTCTTTGCAAAGCAGGCCAAGATTATACAATGCCCATCCATGAATTTCATTATGTCAAGCCGTACAGCTTCTGTCAGAAAAGCTTCTAACAATTGTCAAAAATTAGCTGTCTGAGAACAACCACCATAGCAACAAGACTCAGGACGCGGTGGGAATCAACATCCAAAGCATACCCAAAAGCTTTTAGAGCTTCTTTGTGGAGACCCTTTCCTTCATGAAGCCAACCTGTGAAAGTCACCCAAGTATTGGATCCCATTCTTATGCCACCAGTTAATTCACAAAATTGAATTTGCAATGCATCCACAAAAACAATGTTTATGTCGTACATGAGAAAATAATAACCCTCACTGTCCACTTCAGATACTGGCGAAGCATAACATAAGAGATGAATCAAAGACAACTCAGACTTAGAAACATAAAGGGAGCCAACCCACTGTTACACAATTTAAGACTAAGCTGCAGTTTGTGCTATGACCAGTCAAAAAATACAGATTTGGAAAGGTAGCCATTGAATAACTTTCCCTCATATGCATCATTCTTTTCCTAAAATCCTAATAATTGTGCGAGCTATCATGATTTTTTTTTTCTTCAAAATTTTGTGAATTACAAAAACTTAGGACAAAATAGTAGAACTGCCGAAATGATTGCTGGCATTCAACCAGAGCTTATGACAGCGGAGAACGAACTTTTATAACCCTTAAAAAATATGAATTTATCCTAATAAAAAATTATAATGTCCAATGGTAAGTTTAACTTTAAACTTTAGAGTATATCGAAATTATATTTTTTTATTAGAATAAAATCATATTTTTTAACGGTTATATTAACAGATATCAATGAAGGGGGTTACGTGTTACGTATGCATAAACGTCATGAAATGTAGGAGTAATATTCAAAATGTGAATGAATTCAAATAATTAAGTAACAAGCATGAGGGAGTCTAGGTATAATTTATCAATTTAGTTTTAAGTGCGCATTGATACAAATTTCTATCTTTGAGAGTGCAAATTGAGATTTTTGATCTTTGGGGGTGCAATTTGAAATTCTAACTATTTTTAGGGTGCAACTTGCAATTAACCCAAAAATGAAAGTATGAAAAATTATAAGTATGAAAAATTTGAGGGATAAATAAAGCATCATATTTGGTGAAAAAGAAAAATAGGAAGGATGAGAAAGTGGATGAATTAACTTTTTTTACAACTCACCAAAATCAATCCCTCCAAAATTAGAAGGAAAGTTTATTATTTGTATTGAAATATATCTTATTTGTCTAATCAGATAATTCTTTGTGTTTTTGTATTTTTTTATTTTAGATTATCTTAAGTTACATTATATTGTGTTAGATTTATATGAAAGATAATATTTTAATTATATTTTGTTGAATTATGTTATAAATGACAATTTTTTAATTATGTTGTGATATTCTATAATTATGTTAAATTATTTAAAATATTAGATTTATTTAGAATTTTGAATTATGTTGACTTGAGTTTGGGTTGAGGCTGAGGCGGGCAAGGTGGACAGAGGCGAGGGCGGGGACGGGGACAAGGCAAGGGTGAAGGCGGGCAACGAGGCGGGGTAAATATTACAAATTTACTCGCGAACAGGGATGAGAATGAAAAATATACCGTTATCAAGAATAGATCAAAAATGAACAAATTTTTTTTAAACGAGTACGAAAATAAAGACTACACCTCCGCCCCAGCTTCGATTCACTGCCGTGTCTAAAGTCAATCCAAAACCTCTCAAAAAAATCCATCAAGTGAATAATATATTCTTTTTGGCCGACCACGAATCTATTCCCGTTTTCTCTAAGCTGATAATCTTATTGGCTTGGCACATTTAAAAGGCCTGGGCTTTTTGGTCCTTTCACATCCTCTCTCCTTTTCCCTGTAATTTTCACAAATCAGAAGGGCTATCAATTATTGTCTCCCCTATAAATAGCACCAATCTAACCCTCTGCTCTTCTCCCCGTGCTTATTCCCTCCCTCCCTCCGTACTTCTGTCTCCCTCTCTCCAGGTACGTCATTTCCATTAAATCTTTCTTTATGCATTCATCATTTTCGAATAATTTCACAATTTTTATTGGACAATATTCCTTTCATTTTTAAGGTTTTACCAATAATTTACAGTTTTGATCCCATCAAAATGCAAAACTGTATTTTGGGCCTTATGTACATGGTGATGACGTGGCATGCAGTAAACGAGCCATAAGTGCAACCACCATGAACCACGCACGTAGATTTTTGACGCCTGGGCTGTCAAATGAGCGCAAAGACAGAGACGGCCTTAACGCCTTGAAACCGTCAACGACGTCAAAATTGGCCAAGCCGAGTGTCCACAGAGCCGCTGCGCCGTTCACTCCGAAGTCTTCCAAGCCGGTTACTAGTAATCAGCTTTTAGCTGGTTATCTGGCTCACGAGTTTCTCACGAAGGGCACTCTATTCGGCGAGCCTTGGGACCTAGAACGAGCCGAGGTTGTGGATTTATCGTCGGCTTCGAGGGAAAAGTGTAACCAGAAAGGAAAGGCTGAGCCGACTTTGAAGCCGAATGAGCAGGTGGAGAAGTATCGGAGGTATGCGGAAGTAGCTGATTTGCTGAAGACAGATGGGGCCCACATGCCTGGCATTGTCAACCCGACTCAACTCGCTCATTTCTTGACGATGTGATGATGTCATTTCCTGCTTAGGGGAATTTAAAAATTCAACATAATTCATTGATTTAATAGTGTGATTTAATTATAATTATTAAATTAATACTAAATTCAAGTATTTAATAAAATTTACGATCAATTGTCAATTTAATGATTATAATAAATTAAATCAATAAATTAAATATAAATAACATTGAACATATGTGAAACGAGATTGTCCCTCTCTCAGAGGAATTCGTTTATAGTCGTTCTTTGTATTTTAGTTTGTGTATTTGTGTTGTGCTTGCATGTATAATTTGAGAAGGAGTAATGTTACATGAACTTAAAAAGTAGATTTAAAAATTAGACTTGATAATCGCAATTATTGATTTTATTACGGGTTCCAGTATTTATTAGGATCCACTACCTATTCAATAATTGAGATTATCAAGTTTAATTTTTAAATTCATCTAGCATTGTCCTTTGAGAAGATACTCCGTATTTGCCCCGTGGCAGTGTTATATAATATACATCATCTATAAAATATTTTACGTTCTTAATTAATTGTTATCATTTGAAAAGTTGTCGGGTAATTTGTGACAATTTTTTATTGGATGTAAAAAATCCATGACACTTACACCTTGCTTGTCGAATATTTTCTGTTTGTGTGAATTTCTACAATATGAGAAAATTAATTATTGAAATTTTGAGATGATATTAACCTTACAAATACACTAAATGGAAGCATATAAATCTACCATCGAGTGGGATCTAGTGGGACATTGGTTGAATATTTCATCCTACGGTTGGAAGTTTGGATCTTAGAGTTCACATTAGGGTTATTCTTGAGAGGTCTAACGAATATGATCAGGAGTCTCATAATCTCACAAGTGAAGACTTATCGGGAGTGGTATCTGGACGCTCTCCTTTGCCCCCACCCATTTTTTTACTTATAAAAAAATATATATATAAATTTGTTTATGTAATTATTAGCAGGAAAACAATAACATGTAAAATTACAATAAATAACTGACTTGTTTGTAGACTAGGAACAAAAAATTGAACTTTATATAGATTAAGACTAGTATTTGACTCTCTGTTTTGAAGGCATATTTTGTCCCCACATTGATTCTTATGGAAATTTTAGCGTTTGCGTCTCAAGATAAAATGATCTTCACGTAACTAAAAATAGCACTTCAATTCAATTGCCTAGCGAATTAAAAATTATGTTTGTATTCTTTGATTTTGAATGTAATGACTATCTTAATCTCGTAATAATGTATGTACGACGTGAGTGCAAAATGTTAATCAATTTGGATTATTTATAGACAGAATGGTGACTGTTTCGAATAGCCACCATGCAAACTAATGCAGCTAAGTAGACACCATTGATGTTTGCCTAAAGAATAGATACAAGATTAAAAAATTCGGATTAGATGAAAAATTCAAATTCAAATCCAAATAGTGCCAATTTTGAATTTCAAGGTGTTAAGAATTTCAAACTCAATTCTATAATTGATATTTCTCCAAAAAAAAATAAGGTTGAATGTAAACAACACCCAAACCCAAGCTCAGCCCTGCCAAGGCGCGGTCATGACGTAGTAGGTAGGCGGCACATGTGCTGATACTAGTGCTTGAATTTGGGTTCATATACAATTAAATTAACTCAAGGAATGTATTCGGTGTGGCATTCTACCTCTATATTGACCCAAAAGGTAATAATTACTTTAAGGGGTTGCACTTAGAGCAAGGGAAATGGGACATACAAGTTAAGTTAGCATAGATAATTAGATTGTGATTGTAACATTGTGCACTTTCCCTTCGTCAATGGAATGAGCTTCAAACCATTTAGAGTAGGAAGAGAATAATTAAGCCTACAAAGAGCTTATTGTTCCAATACGTTTAGGGTAGATTGGCAAAACATAAATCCTGAGTTTACGTAGCAGTTACGCAGTTAAAGATAAATAGTTGTGATGACTCTTTAGCGGTATTTATCATATTTTTTCATGTAGTATCTATGTTATATTACCTATATTAATTCTATAGTGGGAAGATAAGACAATAGTGCTATAATACATATAATGCTTGATTTTAGTTGATGTGGCTTGTGATTGCAAGGCTGAATGGGGACAAGATTAATGGAGCAGAAGCTTCCTTCTTCCTTCAGTAAGATGGGTACAAATTGCAAATCCAATATGCAAGCAACTCTTAAAAAATAACCCAACACAACCAAAGACACTATCAAACTAATAAGGAAAGAGCCTATACAAAGTGAAGGTTCCTCATGCTAGAATCCAAACGTGTAGCCTTGAATGAGGACGATACATTGCATGCGCGTATATGTTAGAATATTTTAATTAAAAGAGTGTTTTTTATGTGTGAGAATTTAATTTCACATTGAGTAAATATCCAAAGGTACTTGAGTATATATATATATATATATATATATATATATATTAGTGTTATCTAGCTTTTGAATTAAAGAGAGATCTTAGGATTTTCATGTAGGCAAAAGTGAGACTAGCGGAGGAGATACATATTTCTACGATTTAGGGTGTCCCTATTCCACGAGTAGTGGGTCCCCTTTGCTCGCCTAGTATTAAACCCACTTTTTAATATTTTGTTCAATTATTTTCTGTCATTATTTCTATATTAAAATTTCAGTTACTGAATACTAAAAATCTCCGACGACTAGTATTCTAACAACCATATTTTTTGAGTTATTATATAATTAAATATAGAAATAATTACAGTCTATTAAACACATATATTATTTGTATATATATATATATATACACACATATATATACACGTATTTTTAGTATAGAAATATACAATATCATATCAACTATCTTCTTATAATATAAGTTTTTGGGGAATATTCAAAGGTGTGTGTGAAGCTTCTGCTTCATTCGATTGTGCAAATTTGAGTGAAGCAACACTCAATAGGCTGAACTGTTGTATCTTGGGGACGATGTGTTATTACTTTCTGTGCTGTAACTCTTTCATAAAGGGGCGCAAATCATTTTAAGAAAGTGACCTAGTCTGCGCCTCACCTTACCGTTCCCTTTATTTGCATCCAATTTTTTTCAACAATATATTACCACTTCCTTTCTCTCTCTTGGGTGGGACAAGGCCACAACATGAACTGAGCCGTGAGCCTGTCATTTAAGAAGAATGATGCTTGGTTAGTCTTTGATGTTCTATACGCTGCCTAGGTAAACAAGCAACGCTAACTTTATTTTTGGTTCAACGGTAAGGGATATTCGGATCATTTTATATATATCTTGATTAATTTTTTTTTGGTCCGATCAAAAAATGGTTATTCACGCCGAGACTGAGGTATTCATAAAAGATAAATTTCTCATGACATAATCCTAAAAGATTGCTAAAGTTCAAACTTATAACGTCTGATTTGTTAGCAAAATAATTTCAACAGATTATAATGCTTTGAACGTGTATTCACTCTCCTTAAGGAAATTATGCCCCCACTATTTTGCTGCTGAATTTATGGCAAATTCCTCTAGGATTAACAAAGTCAAATAAAATTTTAAATAGCAAACTCTAAAATTCTTCCAAGAACATAATAGAGAAATGTTATTTTAATTATTGAAGGATCTGTATAGGTATTTATAGTACCATAGAGATGTAACAAGGAGACACAACTCTTGGGCCAAGAGACATTAATTAATCCAAAAATAATTAATCAGTTATAGACACAACTTTTGACTTTAAATATTTTTTTATTTAAAGCCTAATTAAGATCCATTGATCTGAAATATTTGAAGCTTCCCTCCAAATCTTCCCACCATCCATATTTATAAAATTTGGTGTGTTTCTCCTCCTTTTAAACTCTTACACTCTCCTTCTACTTTTTCAATGTTGGATATCTTACATTACTAACTATTTCTAACATGATTTACATCTTGTCTCTATTATGATTTAAGACAAATGACTCTCGTATTTAAAAACAGTTGGACTAATATTTTTAAGTAATGGTTCAGGTTTAGTAAGTAATTATGATAATTGTGTGGACCCTCTGTTATCTATTTATGTTTTAGATACTATACATTTATGATATCATAAGCTTGATCCATACAATAAATAAAAAATTGTGTAAAAAAAAAAAAACTAAAAAATCCATACAATAATTTCACATACAAAAGGCATGAGAACTAGCCGATCATTAAAATGTAAATCCAACTTGGACCGCGATACTACGTTATGAAAAACAACCATTAGTGTATGAGTAGGGTGTCTAACGCGAATTAGCAAAAATAAAGCATTGAATTAGCAATATTGACCACTCATATTACTGGTTATATAATTACCAAAAAAAAAAAACACATAAAGAAATTTTAGATTCTTAGTGCTAAATAAGCAATAATAGCCATAATATCATTTGTATATTATTTTTTATCAATTTCTTTTGAAGAAGTATAAGTTTTTATTTTTGTTTGTAATTTCATTGTATTTCATATTTAGAAATTGTACTTAATATTGGACAAAATTTTAAAAAATTGGGACCGAGAAAAATCTAGGAATTGTGCATGGTGATTACGCGAGTGAGATCTATTTAATATATTTTCTCTATAATTTTTTTCTTAGTAAATCTAGGGTAGTTCACCCGAGCCGACAAGTAGAAAATATTGAATTCCATCTTTTGAGTTGATTCTTTGTGGGCCAATTTCTTGGCCGAGACCAAATTCTGTCTAAAAAAAAATGGCTCTGAATTCGGGTAGGGTTGTGGAATATATCACATATTTGTAATTTTGTAATTATTAATTTTTGAATAATTTTAACAAGGATAAATAATTTTTGACATAATTTTATAGTTAGGCTGTTAAAATATAATATACTAATATATAAATCAATACAATAAATCAATAACACTAGAGAAATATAATATACATACGGTTAAAATATAATATACAAGTGGGTTTGGTAAGAATGTAGATTTTTTATGGGTTTTTTGTATTCCTATCTAATCATTTACAGAATAATGTAATTTGTTCCATAAGTTAGGCGAAAATTTGTGAAATTCAAATAATAGGGTCTAGTAGGATCGGAATAGTTTGGGTAGGCAAAAATTTGAACAACCCTAGGTAAATCATTTGTCAATTGAACCTATTATATATAAATAAAAATTTCACTCATTAATAATATATGATCAACAAAAAAAAATAGAAGAAAAAATATATTGGAGAACCAGTTAATGTTTGTACCTGAAGGTTCTATTAATTAAAAAAAACACATCAATTAGAAAAATTAGAATTAATTTGGGCTCATTATGTTTTTAAAAAAAAATCATCAAATTTTTCTCTAGAAACTATTCCCAAAACAATATTGAGACTGGTAAACAATATTCATAATCAAACATCGAAAGGATAGTAATTATTAGGGAGATTTTTGAACTTGTATCTTGAAAAATGTCTCAATTCCCACTTTACACTCTAAAAAAATATTTTTTCTATTTTGTACCCTAAATGTCATAAATTAGTTTCATTGTGGTCCTCAGACTAACATTCATTTCAAATTCTGTTAAAAATTGATGCACTTGCCACCTAAGAATATGAATGGTGAGTTTATATTTTTGTCCAAGAACAACACACATGGGTGCCAACCAAAAAACCATGAATGAATGCAATATAGATCCAAAAGAAAAAATGTAAAGAACTGCAAAAGAATCAAATCCCAGCCCCTCTGTCCAACACAGTTGCTGTAGTGATCTATAATTTCGTCCTTTGGCCTTGGTTTTAGGTTGCAATCCCCTCCATTCTCTCCCAATATCAGTACATAAGGTGATCATGTTCAACATTAACATTTCTGAAATTGAGACAGACGAAAATTGCAATACAAAACAAATAGAAAGCGTTGCAAAACTAACCAACTCTAAAGAACTACTCAATGAGAACATAATGGTTGTATTTTCTAACAAACTGACATCAGTGACGTTTGAAAAGTGGTTTTAAGTTTAACTCCTAGCTACTCTTTGTTTTGCAGGACATAATATCCCTCATTTAGCCATAAATCATGCTAAAACTTTGTTTTAGCTTTAATTAAATATGAAAAATGGAAATTTCCATAACTAATTTTTGTTTTGAAAAAAAAAAAGAGCAATTGTTGGTGTTTACCCCATAATAGAGAGCAATGTATCCATTTCCATAAGCCTAATGAGTACAATGGTAATTCAAGTAGCTACAAAATTGAGCAAGAACACTGTTAGAAATATTCAATAAATCACAGTCATTCGTCTCCTATGAATTTAACAACTCCTCTTCTCCTTTGTATTTGAATGTAGGCGGTGTGCATCTTTGATTTTTTTTTTGCTGTGAATGTGTTTATTTATTTGCTTGACCCAACAGATTAATAATGAACTAAATAGTAAGACTACTATTCACCAATTAAACAATGACTCACCCAATAATTAAATGTATACTCAATTACCTTGATGTCTTGATTGGAAACCCATAATCTAAATTAGATAATAAGAGTTTCATGCAAAATAGAGCACTCAAAAAATAAACATACCAAAGCATTCATAAAAGGTAGCTTAACTAGTTGGATTTGACGAATTTTCTAAACGCTAAGCAAAAAAAATGCAGATTATAGGCATCAAACAGAGAAATCTTAGTAACACTCCAATAGCCAATATAACAAAGGAGCTCCAAGGCGGTAAAAAATAGGCTTGCAAAAATGTAACTGCATACTGGTGTTCAACCAAGCCTTATTATTTGTATAACTTTGACAAAATAAAACTCAATCAACAAAAAAATATTGCATAAAACAAAAGAAGACAACTTTAAAAACAATATGTAAGTCGGTTGGTGGGTTTTCTATGATTTGGTTTAGTAAATGGTTGATGTGCATTATCAAGAAAGGGACTGGAGCAGCCATAAAGTTTAATTCCCTAAGAATAAAACAATAGAAATTTGCTTGTATTTGTTTTCGTGTGTGTTGCGTTACAACATCCGGATGTTATTTTGTCTATGTCATTGTTCGTCTACGTGTGGGTGTTGTTGTTCATGTTTGGGTGGGTGTGTTTGAGCAAAAAGAGGTGGAGAAATATAGAGCAAAAACACAAGGAGATAATAAGGGGCGAGATATAGGAGATTTAGGGAAGATATTAGGTTGAGGATTGGGGGACTGCAGCATTCTTGCATGGAAAAGAGATCGTAGAATGTGTGTTTGTTCGTTGAGTGTGTGTATGTGAGAGAGAGAGATAATTGAGGGTGTGATAGAGCGTGTTGGAAATTTGGTGGGAGGGGGAGTAATATTAGGGAAGGAATTGGAGGAGATAATTAATCGAGGAATGAATTTAGAGATATTAATTATAGAAATTAAATTTTGAGGGGATAAAATCAAAATTTAATAGTTATTCTGGTATGTTAGATCAAAGCGATCTGAGATGTCAATAATTTGATATAATTTAAGATAACATCGTCTATTAGATGATACATTTTTTGATCTCGAAATAATCTCAATTATTATTTGTCTCTTTAATTTAAAATCGTTCTAATTTATTATATAAATATAGATTTAGTATAAGAGATACAAAAAAAAAAAATATTCTAATACGACTGAAATATACAAAAAGTGAGCCTTATTCGGTTTCCCGGGTTGACCTGGCGACTTTGTTCTTGCACTCTCACGGTTCTCTTCCTTACGTAAGAAATTAGGGCTTGAGAGCCAAAAAAAAAACCTATTTTCAAGCGTTTTTAGATTCGATCTTATCTGAATTCACAGTTATCACTATTATCGTCGTCCAAGGATCGAAAGATGGTGAGAGGATTGCTCAACAAGCTCGCCTCTAAGTCTCTCTCCGTTGCCGGAAAATGGCAGCAACAGCAGCTCCGCCGCCTCAACATCCATGAATATCAGGTCACTCTTCTCCCACAATTGCCATCTGGAAACACATATAGAGTGCGTGCGTGCGTGGGTGTGTGTGTGTGTGTGTGTGTGTGTGTGTGTGTCATACGCATGATGACGTATGGTGATTCTTACACAAACTTACTCATACATAGTATATGCTGATGGTAGGATTCTTTTGTGGCTTGCTGTAGAACAGTAAAACATTATCATCCTTTTGTGACATTCTTTGCCAGAAAAGAATTTTGAGAAAGGAGAAAAATTTTTTGTTGATGATCTTAGTTTTGATTGTTGAAGGACTCGGTGAAGCAAAAGATGAAAAGAAAAACAAAGGTAAAAAGGAGAAAGGCTTACATCTATTAAACCAGATAGTGATGTTGGGTTCGATTGACGGATCTTTCAATTCTCTTCTTGTAAGATCATCCAGCATTAATGAGCGAGAGATTCACTTGTATATACAATGGATCTCACTTGAATGTATGATAATTGATCCATTAAGAAGGGAATTGAAGAGAAAATATATTGGAGGGATCTCACTCTTTGATTGACAGGATGTTTTACTCCGAATCCAATCAATGAATTTCTTAGATTTATTTTGAACTTATTTTGTTGCAAAGCTTTCAATCGTTCAATGAATCTGAGAAGCAGGTATAAATCAGGTTGTGTTTTTTCAATTCTTCTGTTGAGATTAAGCTTGTCAAAATGATAAAGAAAGATGAGAATGTAAGGAGTTTTTTGTTATGCAGATAGTATAATGATGTGGCTTTTGACTTCTTATTTGTTATTGTAACTGGTTGATTACAGTTCATGAATCACAATTAATGCTTTTTGGTGTTCTGAAATCAGGGAGCTGAGTTGATGGGCAAATATGGGATCAATGTGCCTAGAGGTGTAGCAGTTACTTCTGTTGAAGAAGTCAAGAAGGCAATAAAGGATGTTTTCCCCAAGGAAAATGAGGTAATTCGGGGTATCAATTCATTTACAACAATACGATGATAAAATAAAATTGTTTCTGGATGTTAGTGGCACTTGGGACAATGGAAGAAAGGCATGTGAGAGTCTAGTTTTAGCATAAATGTGTAAAATCAACCTTATAGATTTGTCTGTTAGGCTGGGTCACCATTGAGTTCTTCTGCTCCTGAGTCTCAAACTGAGAAACTGGAGCTGTAGACTTGATTTCGTTTCTTATAAATTCTTATCTTTTTGCAACAGCTGTAAATGAGCAATACTGCTTTTGCTTCTGGTGCAGTTGGTGGTTAAAAGCCAAATTCTTGCTGGTGGACGGGGCTTGGGAACATTCAAAAGTGGTCTGAAGGGTGGAGTTCACATTGTTAAGGCTGACCAAGTTGAAGAGATAGCTGGTGCGAGGGCTGTCTTCTAGTCTTCAATTGGAAAAAGTCGCAGAATTGTATTGATTTCAGTGCTATTTTATTCATCAAGGTGGTTATACTTTTCAATTTCTATTTATCATCTATATTCTTTGCAATTAATTAAACCTGGGTTAATCTATTCTTAAAAAACAATAAAAGAGGCAACATGCCGTCATGTCTCATCTGCACATCATAGGAAGTTACAGAATATTGAACTGTGTCAGCCTTCTAAATTTCTGTAATAATGTTAGGATACTGCAGACTTTCTCTAATATCACCTTTTCACGTTTTCTAACTTGGTGAACCATTTGAGAAATCTTAAGAACCACAACAAACCTAGAGCAGGGAGAACCATCGTCTTTGTTTTCTTTGGAAGGACCAAGGAGCTGTACAATGCTTCTTCCCCTCTACTATGAAACTAACATTCTAGTGGGCACAATGATGTGGTTGGTTTATATGTCACTGCTGTTCTTTTGCCTGCTTGTACCCTTGCTGTGGGTTGCTGTATAAATATTTTGGATTACAGCTTTTTTTTTGACCATGTAATTTTGATGGGCAGGACATCTTTTATTTTTTGTGACATTTTTGGTTTGTTTTTCAATAAAAGAAACAATGGGATGTTTTCTGGAACATATAATTATGAGTAAGAAAAAGAAAGGATCTCCATGAACTGGCTTCCAACAATGGAGGTTTATTGGGAAGAAAATTTTGAATTTCTATGGGGACATATGCTTGCTTCAAGAGGCTCTGTAACTCCAGGATGAATACCTTGTTTATTTTGCTTTTTGATAAACCGATAACTATTAAATTTTAACTCGTTTGAGGCCCACAATCTGACCCTATGGAAGTTAGACACAAAGATTGAGTGAGCTTATGTACAGTTCTTCAAGATAAAATGGAGCAGTCTGGTTTGGATAGCAGCCCTCAAAAATTGAAAGGGCAACATGTTGAAAATAAGGGAGACATGTCAACATTGTTGACTTAGAGTGTATTTAGAAAATCAAATGACTTTACTTGTGATATTAATAGATCACTGCATGTCGTACTTTGGGAGTTTTTAAAATATTACTAGCTTTGCACATGACTTCTAAATTGATTTCATTCCATGCATTCCTGACCTTATTTGTTTTGTTTGCAGGGAAGATGCTTGGACAGATACTTGTTACTAAACAGACTGGGCCTCAAGGAAAGATCGTCAGCAAGGTATGATATTGTACATATGTTCTGCATAACAAATGTACCCCCAAGTAGGCTTACAGAACACGGGTATGTTGCTGCAACATTCATCTGCATGGACTTGAATTAATTAACACAGCACTGGGGAAGTCCAATTAAGGACAACTGGATGAGTTTTGTGTGGCTCCATCATTAGTTAAGTAATATATTTTAGTGTTGCTAAATGTTTTTCGTAGCCTCTTTGATACGATGCAGATTATTTGCGTAAATGCCTGCATTTGAATGATTGCCATCTTTATGTGCATCATTTTAAAACGTAATTTTACCTTCAAAAGGCAATATTCTGTAGTCATGATTTCAAATTTATCTCCAAGTCTAGCAATAATATGTCAACCCCCCTGATTTACATGTATTTTCAAGAAATGGGAGGTTGACATTTTACTTTTTTCAGATAGTCAATATGCTGGAAACAGAGGATTGCAATGTGGCTTTTTTTTTTTTTTTTGGAATAAGAATATTACCTAGGCTTTGCCATGAAGTTTCATAATACGGGCACCCTTTGGTATCGGATTTGATGATACATGACAGTTCAAGATTGACAGTGGATATTGATTTTCACATGACTTCAACTAGAAAACCCTCATTTGTATTATGTGGCCAGAATTATATATTTCAGTTTCCCATAAATGAAAAGCTACCTAACTATTCTGAAAATTAAGATTTAATGGTTTACATCCTAATGCAGGTTTATTTGTGTGAAAAGTTATCACTTGTCAATGAGATGTACTTTGCTATTACTCTTGATCGTACCACTTCTGGTCCTGTAAGTTCACAAACATGCTGTAATATATTAAAAAATTATTTTACTTTCTTTTGTCGCTTGTTTTCACTTTCTTGTGTATGTAGCCATTCCTGTTTATGTCTCTAATATGGAGGGGGATAAATTGGTGCAAAAAACTTCTTATTGCCATATGGAAAAATTTTCTTGCATATTTTTACCTGCATCTTATGCTTTAGTTATGAAGTTATATACATATTTGTACACACGCTATATTCATTTTCAGAGTGGTTTTCAGCCAATTGAATGATTTCATGATATAATTCCAAGAATGTTTTGTTGAATCCTTTGCGCATACCATTTTGTAAGTATAGATATTTAGTCTCTTTTTTCGGTCTGAAGGGGATGATTATCCTTTTATTTATTGGTGATTGACACTACTTGAAGACTTTGGGAATCAGTTTTCACTATGACTTTTGTGATTATCCTATGCAAAGCACAGAAATCAGTTTTCAGCAATGAACAGAGATATATACGCTACCTACGGGTCATGATGTTCTGATTGTGAGATATGCATTTTGGCCTTTTCCCATCCTTCCCAATATTTGTGGGTGATCTTATAATCGATAGATGTTTAGAGGTTTAGTGGATTGAATTTGCGATTTACTTTAACATGGTATGAGTGACCCAACATAGTTTTGAGTAATTTAATGCCTGGAGGTCTGATTTCTGTAGCTCATTGACCTTGATTGTGTGCAGGTTGTTCCTTTTTGGGGCAATTGCTTGAAGTATATCTTACCCCTAAAGTTTTGTGTTCAGATGACCAATGTAGGTCAAAGAAAGTGGTGGATAGGGCGTCGGTCTTTTCATTGGTCTTCTAGGATCCAAAGAGATGGCTCTTTCCTTTTTGTTTGGCTCTTTCCTTTTTATATAATCTTATTTTTTCTCCGGAGGTGATCTCAGTTAACCTTGCATTGGTTTAAAGAATAATAAAGATCGAATTTGTTTTGATCTACCAATACATTTGGATGTTCTAGTTCCGATGGGGTCAGGTTGGAATAGGAATTTATTCTTATTCGTTCTAAATGTTTGGTATATGCTGCTGTTGTTATAGCTATGCCAAACAGTATGGATATGGTCACTGAGATTCGGTACTTCCTTCTATTCGTATATAATTTAGGTTGAGCTAAAGCGCGTGAATCTAAAGGATTAATACTTATAACCCACCCACGCACCCACCCACCCACCCACCTGATGAAAGATCAAAGCAGTAGTGTGAGAATGGTCCTTGAAGGTAAATTACTCTACTTTTGGTGGGTAATTAACATTTACTCATGATTGGAGCCTTGTAGCGTGGAAGTCAAATAAATTAGAATTTCTGAGTGATATCACTCTTACTGATATGGATGGAGGAGGGGAGGGACGGAGTAATGGGTTGTTTTTACGGCGGAGACAATCAATAGTTTGGGGAGAACAATCATAGAACAGTCATCAAAATTTGTTGTGACTCACGAATAAATAGTAAGTAAGTAGGTTTGTTTGATTCGGATTGATTTTTTTTCTATTATTAAAAGATCAAAATTTGATTTAAAAATGTTTTTTAATCTGATATGAATATTCAAACGAATTTTGTTTTAACATTATATATCCAAATAAGGTAAATATTAAATATTCAGACGGATGATACTTGAGTTATTTAGAGTTGAATTTATTAAATTACATTTTAGTTCAATTGAATTGTAAAGTAATACTCAATTTTGCTTCTTTTTTCTCTCTGTTGTTATAAGTATTGTGCAATTCGTAGAATATTTGAAACAAATTTAGAAGGTGAATATTATGTTGGATACACATGAATCCTACTATATGGGGAGTTTGTTGAAAATATATATATATGAAAAAAACAAAGAAAAAGTAATACTCAATTTTATCATATATGAATGTAATAAATTAGATTATATCATAATTAAATTAGAATTTGGTATATTAAAATTGAAATTTATGAAATAGGACATACTTTAAAATTTCTGGTCACCTTTCTTTAAATCATTCATAATGTCTATACGGATTTTAGGAAAGATTTCTGTTTTCTCAAGTGAAATATCTAAGAAAATACTGACAATATATAAGGGTATTTATGAAATTTCAAATATATTTTAATAGAAGTATCACCTAATACAGATCATAAAGTCCTCTATAATCCCTAATACATACATTTTAATCCTCTAACTCATTCTCTAATAGTCTAATACTAACCAAAATAGAAATCCTTGTCCACTCTAAGCTCTAATGCATACGAATCGTCTAATTCTCTAATACTAACCGAAATAGAAATCCTAGTCCCAACAATAAAGGGTGGGAGAGAGAAGTATATATTAATGGTGCCATGAAGAAAATAAGATCAAAGCACCATCATATTTCTCCGGCATTCTCTAAGTTTCTGGTACTTATAATCTCTCCTTTTTCTTGCTAATATAGTTCAGATTTCAATCATCTTCTTCTTTTTTCTACCTCTTCAATTGAACTTCTTGTTCAAGCACTGCAAGTTTGTACTTTGTCTTCTATCACCCATTGCCAAATACAACGCAGAGGAGGACAGTAAAACAATGTCCGACTCCGACCCCGACTACGACTACGACTACGACGACTCCGACTCCGACCCCGACTACGACTACGACTACGACGACTCCGACTCCGACTCCGACTCCATTGTGAATATACGTATCTGCATACCATCGAAGAACAAAGCAATATCGTTACAGCCACAAAGTTTTACAACAATTAAGTTTCTCAAGTTGTTGATATCCAAGGCGGGTATTCCACCAAGCTCTCAGGTTCTCCTCTACAATGGCGTAGAGCTTGACGATCACATGTGCCTGAGGAGATTCAATACTGAAGGCGGTGCCGCCATTCTTCACTTGCTTGTTCATCCACCGGGCGATTTTCTGCCACCACATGATATTGGTATTAGCATTGTTGCGATGCTTCCGCAACATAGATGTTTGCCGATCGAGGTGAGACCATGGTATACGGTTAAAGACGTCAAGGCTGTGATCGAGAGTGGTACTGGAAAGCCATTAGAGCAAGCCAAGCTCAAATTTCAGGGAAGGATTCTCAAAGATTCAATCACCATGGGGGACTGTGATTTTAACATGGATAGGATTCTACATGTGGTTAGTATGCCACCGCCACCGCCACTGCCACTGCCACCTTTCTCAGGGAGAGATTATTCTTCCATTGACACAAACTACGGCGAGGAGTTCATTATTACTGTGCGCGAACGTGAATTTTTATGGCAAATACCGTTCCAAGTGACAACATCAAACACTGTGTACGAGATTAAGAAGAAGATGGGGTTGAAAGCAATTCGGCAGACTCTCTTTCTACGCAGAAAACCGCTTCGCGATGAGGATACCCTAGGACTCCATGGCATACAGGAGAATTCTGTGCTCTGGTTATGGGGTCGGTCTTTGGAACTGCAAATCAAGATGGTGCAGTGTGGAACGATAATTTCGATTACCCTTTACAGTACAGAAACCATTTATGATCTCAAAAGCTTGATTTTTGAGAACACTGGGATTCCATTGATCAGCCAAACCCTTGTTCATGAAGGTCTGTCACTAATGGATTCTCTAACCCTAGAAGATTATAATATCCAGAGTAATTCTAGGGTTTTTGCTATCAGTGGATTGGATTGTGAAGATGAAGAAGAAATTGACTTGCACATCACAACAAATTTTACAGATCCATTTGTTATCCGGGTGAAACCTTGGTATAAAATATTGGATGTCAAGGCTGTAATTGAGAGCAGAACTCCTGAAATTCCTATTAGTAGCCAGAAGCTCTACTATAACCATGAAAGGCTAAAAGACTGGAAGACAGTGGCAGATTATAACATCACCGATAAGTCCTTGATTTTCGTGGAGATGACTCCTCTACCTGTGCACATATTTATAAACACGTGCCATAGAAGTAGCGGGAATAACACCATTGAGATTGAAGCTATGAATTTCACAACAGTGAATGAACTTGTGGATCGTATTCCGGACCAGGAGATTGAAAACATTAAGTGGCACCCATGTTTGTTTCTTGATGATGTTATGCTACAAGGTAGAAAAAAGCTTGTTGAATACGGGATTGTTTCGGGGTCAGTTCTTAGTTTGGATCGTTTGATTCAAATAAACATGATGGATTCAAGTGGTAAATGCAGTCAGGTGAATTTGAAACCTTCTTACTCTGTTCATGCTGTGAAGATGAAGATACAAAAAAGCTATGGAATCCCTCATGACTTTCAGGTGCTGAAATACAATAAAGATGAGATCGATGATCGCTGGAGTTTGGAAGACATCGAGGTTGTTTTGAGGATCAGATTAGTGGATCTAAGGTGGAATTGTTTTGGAAGATCTAGTTCCTTTTTTTGGCCTTCTTATGTGGATGATGCTCACGTATTCTGAAGTTGAGATCGATGATTGTTGGAATTTGGAAGAAATTGAGGCTGTTTTGAGGTGGAAGTCAGTCATGAAAACTTTCTACTATTCATATTGAAGGTGGGAATTCTCTAAAATTATCGTAGGCTTTTTGGTGATTGAGTAGCCATAGTAGTCGTTATAGTACTACTAGCCATAGTAATAGTCATAGTACAAGTTATAGTTTGTAATCACTTAAGTTTCTCTTTTACCTTTAACTCATTAGCTGAAATAGCACCAAAAAAAAAAAACAATTATTTGAGTAGCATTTTTGTTGTAATTTTTCCCATCAAGTGGGGTACTATAAAACTTACACATGAAAAAAAAAAAAATCATCAATGTTATAGCATTTGCAACAATGATATAAACATTATTTCATATGAGAAGTATTGGTAAATAATCATGTTATTTAAGCATATTCCAATCCTAAATGTTGCTAAATTAAAGTAACATTCCATTGACATCTATCTATGGTAGGTAGAAGTTAAAAATCTATATCGATTTCACAATTGAAATTGGGGGAAAAAAAGAAGAAGAAAGAATTTAAATACCTAAGAATATGCGTGACAATTTTACATATAACTTATAAATTCGACACCAAATCAAGAAGAGTTTACAGATTTAGATTTGATCTTATTGGTTCAAGTGGTAAATAGTTTACCCTAATAGACTAATTAATTAAATGAATTGACACAAAATCAATTAAACAAAATATTAAACTATTACACATGTCTTAGAGCATCTCCAACCTTGACTCAAATTTAAATTTAACTTTAAATTTGAGTAAAAAAATCTAAAAAACTTGCTCCAACGCTTACTCAAACTTATACCAAATCAAGGGAGACTTTTTTTTTACTCAAATTAAAAGAGATTCAGATATTGACCCAAATATTTAATAGTGAGATTTCACCATCTTTTAAAGATTTAATGGTCATCTTTACTCTCATTTAATTTGAGTTTGTCCACATTTAAATTTAAGTTTCTCTTCTTTTAAATTTGAGTTTGTCCATTAAAGTCATTTATATCAAATTAAGCTTTTTACTCAAATACTAACTTAAATTTAAATAAAAATTTGAGTCATAATTAGAGATGCAGTTATAGTCATGTATCTAATTTTGTGTAATGAACCAGATTCATTGATATATTTGTAGTAAAAATATCAATAGAGTGCCTTACATTGCTTTATCACAACTTTTGTGTCATAAACAAGGTAGCTGGCCCTTTTAAGTACGGATTTATTATCAATATACAACTGTTTTTCAGACTTAAGTATCGATATACAGTAATTTTGAACTTATTTATCAATTTATGACATTTTTTGAAAATGAATTTGTTGAATCCGATTTCATTTATAAAACGGAGTCAACAAATCCGCTTTTAAATAAAATAAAATAAAATTTTTGATCATATTTACCGAACTAACATTTTTCAAAACCAAATACATTTTTTCAAAAAAAATGTGATTACCAAATGCTAACTGGCTTTAAGAATGTGCTTATTCCCACGCTTTTAGGCTAAATTGAAAAAAAGTCAGGTAACTGAGGGACTCTCACATAGCTCCACCCACCTTCTTTCTCTCCAACAGATCTCATCCTCCTACAAGTCCTCTTCTAGAAGCTTTATGGCCTTTAGTTTCTAATTTAATGTCACCAAATTATATTTGGATAAATGTATTTTGAAGTGGGGTTTCATTCTTTTATACAAGAAAGGTAATTTCATCACTCAAATAGCTTTTTTGTTATGCACCAACTGATGAAAGACTGTTGCTGCTAACAAATATGAACGCCCCTTTAACTAAAACTTATAGCTTTTTTTTTTTATCACTCACAGATGTATGCCTAATGAGATGTGAAAAATGGATTGATTTGAATTTAGCTTTGAGCTTGAACGTTCATTGCAAATTCGTAGTTTTTTCTGGGTAGCCATTACAGAGCGAAACATAAAATATGTGTGATTGGTGGTATAATTACTGAAGCTGCTTCAATTTTCTACAAATGGGCTGTTCCAATGCATCGGAGAACGTACAAAAAGTGGTGGTTGAAATGTACAAAAAGTAAAAGTATTTGTTAACCACGCTTTTAAAGGGAGTTATTTATTTAAAATCAGAATTATTAACTCTTTTTTATAATTAAAAGCGAAATTATTAATTCTATTTTTACAAAATGTGTCGTAAATTGATAAATAAGTTCAAAACTACTGTAGATCAATATTTAAGTTTAAAAAGGACCGTATATTGGTAATAAATTCATTAGAGTACACTAGTAGTGCCAAACCCTAACACTTCATTTGGTAGGTAATAAAAAATAGAGCATGAGGATGTCAAACCAAAATGTAGTAATGATAAATTGAAAATTCATTTCCACTACTATAAAATATCTAATTCCATCGTTGTAAGATTTGTTGTTCTTTAATATGAGACGATATTTCTCATTACCAATTATTACCACTCAATGTCACCATCACTTGCAAACACCATCACCAACACCACCTTCACCTTCACCTTCACATCTATCTCCATCCGGGCGGGTTCAGGGTTGGGACTAGGGAGTTCAAGACCCAATCAGGGTCTAAGGGCTAAGGCCAAAAGTAAGGTTTGGGATCAAGACCAAGGTCTAAGTCTAGGACTGAGGCCAATGTCAAAGTCAAGTTTAGGGTTATGTTTAAGACCAGGACCAAGGTCAAATCTAGTTACGGGATCAGGTTTGGTCCAAGTCTGGACCCGAGCTTAGATCAGGGTCGAGATCAAGTCTGAAACTACGTTCAGGGTCCAAGGTCTGGGTTCGAGTTCTAGTTCTTGTATTTGGGCTCGAGTCCATGGTTGGTTATAGACTCACCTACCCCCCAAAGGCCATTACAACCCAACAGAACAGATTCTCTAACATTAACACCTAAGGGCATCTTCAATAGGTTCTTTATCTCTTTATCTTGGTTGCTGATGTCTTGTCTTCTATGTTGCTGAAAGGAGTGGAAGGACATAAATTTTGGGGAATCAAAGTACGGAGAGGAAATTTAGCTATTTCACACTTGTTCTTTGCGGATGATTCTTTTTTCTTCTTTAAAGCTAAGGATCAAGATATTTTGAATGTCATGAGTGTCCTGAATAATTTTTGTGTTGCCTTGGGTCAGTGTTTGAATCATAAAAAATCTGGTATTCTCTTCTCTGCAAATGCTATGGATGATCAAAAAAATCATTTTTGTCAGTTACTGGGATTAAACCCAGTGGATCGAGGGGTTAAATGTTTGGGTTTGCTTTTCTTTGTATGGACATGCAAAGAGCGAGATGTTTTGATATCTTATTGAGAGGATTTTGAAGAAGTTGCAAGGGTGGAAAAGTTAGTCTCTTTCCCTAGCGGGCAAAGAGATTTTGATTAAGGCAATCATTCAAGCGATCCCAAATTATGCTATCTGTCCTTGCTTTTCCCAAGAATTTTTGTGATAAAATCAATAAATATGTGAGGGGTTTTTGGTGGGATGGAGGAAGGCAAAAGAAAGGTATTAGCTGGAAGTGTTGGGATAGGATGGTTGAAGCTAAAGCAAAAAGGGGGATGGGTTTTAAAGAGTTTTATCTTTTTAATCAAGCGTTGCTTGATAAACAGTGCTGGAGGTTAATCTAGAAACTTGATTCTTTTGGCCAAGGTTTTTAAAATCTATTTATTTTCCTGAAGGTGATTTCATGAAAGCTAAGAAGGGAGCGAGACCATCTTGGGTGTGGAACAGTCTAATTAATGGAAGGGAGCTTTTGAAAAAAGGCCTGACAAGTCATGGAAGGTAATGGGATTAATATTTGGGAGGACAGGTGGATCCCCCATCTCGATGATGGTGATTATTCGGTCTCCTAGACCTCACGACTATGATATTTCCTAGGTTAATTAGCTTTTTTCTCCTAATACTAGAGAGTGGAATGCAAGGCTTATTAGAAGGCTTTTCAATGAGAAGGAGTGTTAGGCTATTTTGGCTATTCCACTTCCAAAGGTTCTTGTTGCTGATAGGCGTATTTGGAGACTGAAGCCAAGAGGTGCTTATTTTGTTAAATCAGGTTACTCCCTTGTTGTTTCTTTTAATACTACTTCTATAATGTTGCCTTTTTCTTCTTTCTCTCCTCATCCAAAATTTTGTTTTGTTGTCTGGCATATGATGGCCATACCAAATGTCAAGCACTTTTGGTGAAAAGTTTGTAGTAATGCTTTGGCCACATGTGAGAATTTATTTAAAAGGAAGTGTGTCGACTCTCCTTGGTGCCAAATCTATGGTGAGATGGTTGAATCCGTTGAACAACTTCTTTTTTAATGTGGTTGGGTTAAGAAGGTTTGGTTTGGGTCTGATTTGGGATTGAGATTGAAGCTGGATCCTCATGTTTCAGTGTTATAGTGGGCATCGTACCTATTGGATGTAATTAAGAATTTCACATGCTCTTTTGAGATTATGGGGAAAGTGGCAACGATTGCATGGGCCATCTGAATTTCTAGAAACAATTTTGTCTTTAATCATCAAGAGCCCAATGCTCTTGCTACTCTGCTATGGGCTTAGAAGTTGTGGAATGAAGTGAGGATTGCTGATATAGGTAGGCGTGAGGTGCAGCCAGTCGATCTCACCTCTTCAACAGGAACATGCTTCTGGTTTCATTACATCTCTGTGTTGTGATGGTGCATTTAAGAAGGGTGATGCAGCTATTGGGGTGATCCTGAAAGGCACAAATGAGACTATTGTGCATGGAATTGCCAAATGGATTCTGGCCGTGTCCAGTTTTTACTCCGAAGCAGCTACAGTAAGAGAAGCTTGTCTCTTGGTTTCTGTTTCTGGGCTACGTGATGCTACTGTTTCTAGTGACAACTTGGAGTTGATCAAGCTGTGTGTTTCGAAAGATGCTCCCCCATGGAATGTTAGTGATTTTGTTAATGATTTTCGATATTTTGTTAAAGTTTTTAATTTAACCTTTTTTAACAAGTCAAGAGCTCTTAAGAGAGCAGCTCATTGGGTCGCAGTCATGAAATTATCTAACTCAATTCCTTTGAGTTGGGTGCGCTGTCCCCCCTTCCCCCGAGCTTAAAGTTTTATTATCTAGTGATTGTAATCAACATTTTTCAACGTAATTAAATTTGCAAATCAGATTACTTTCAAATAAAAAAAAAAGTTTCATTATCTCCACTTAATTCTCTATTTTAGAGAATTGACTTTTAAAAATAAATCTCTAATAGGCTTTCTAAAATAAAGAGTCTAATTTGACTCTTTATATTTGAAGAATCAAATTCACTTTGTACTTTATTTTTTTGAACAAAAAAAGAGTGTATTTATCTTTTTGTCCAATAAATTTAGGGTAAACACTCTTTACATTAAAACAAATCTACTCCCGTTATTTTAGTCTCGGAATGGAATTACTGAAGAAGCAAAGTACACAAAATCAAGCTTGAGTATTAAAATATTTTTTTTAAGTGTTTGTATCAGTTGATCCTCCATTCCTGCCATTCTAACGAGACGTAAGGAATATGGGAGGGGGCTGAAACAAGATGGAAAAGACATGCTAAGGGCTTGGAGCGAGATCATGGGAAACCGTGGATAAATAAAATATTTAAAGTTTAATAAAAGAATAGAAAGGGGAAAAAAAGATGAAAGTTTATTCCTAAAAAGGACAAAGTATAAAATAATAAAATGTTAAAAATAAAGTGTTTTATTGGATTGGTATAAAAAAATTTCCTCTTTATTTTAATTTTTGGATAAAGATGCTCTCTATTTTAAAGAACACTATTCGAGATACTTTAAGTGTCACGCAGACATCAAAAAACCATTGAAGATATGCATAACCAAGAAAAAGACTAATGTTAGAATATCTCCAATTACCTCTCTATTTCCAAACTTCTCTCTATTTTAGCAAGTTAACCACCAAAAATCAAACTCCAATAAGTTTTTATTTAGACTATTTCGAATAGATAACCTTATTTACCTATCTACATTAGAAAGCACAACGCACTCTCTATTCTAAGGATTAATTATTTTTTACCCCCCATGGTTTCAACTAGAAACACCGTGTCTACTTGAAATTTAAAAGTATGAAATGAACATTAGCCCCTTATAGTTATCCTAATATCCACACTTTTTGTCACACCCCCACCCGGATCACATAGGGTGGGCAGCGGACCGGCCACCAAAGCTTTAACCAACCATCCATGTGTATAATAAATACAAAATACAACAAAAAACAAACAATAAAGTGATATATTCCACCGATCTAATGAATAGCAGAGGAATAAACTAACATTACCGACATTATTATTAAACTCATGTAAAACAATAATTAATCCCTAAGGTTCACTACTCTAAGCATAAGCAACATTGTTCACAAAAAAATTGAATATTGTCTCAAAACTACAAAAGACATTTATTCCTGAAAACCTATGATAAAATAAATCTTCAATTCTTCTAATCCCTTATCTATCCGAGAACTTACTCCTCCCCCTGATCCTCATCTTAAAAATGTTAAATATTTGAGTGAGCACAAAGACCTGTGAAATAGCAACCACCTCTAATGGGGTGTGAAAATAAATCTCAGAGTTTATATACAAAAATAAAATTTGATACATATATAAGTACAACAAATTATATCTCAATTCCTCACACATTGTCATGTAAACAAAAATGATTTTATAACCACAAATAACTTTATAAATAAAAAGATATTTATAACACAAAACACCACTTACTTTCACAAATAACTTTATAAATGAAAAGACTCTTATAACTCAAAACATTCACATACACATTTAATCTCAAAAATATTTGTCAAATCATGTTTATTACCATTAACCTGGTAACTGGTCCAGTCTCTTGTCATCATTAGCCTGATAACTGGTCCCGTCTCTTATTACCACTAGCCTGGTAACTAGCCCAGTCTCTTGTTATCACTAGCCTGACCCCAGTCCCAGTCGCTTGTTACCATTTAGACTTGGTAACCCCAATCTGTCTCATAAACATAATTTTCACACACACAAAAACTATAATTTTAGTCCCAACACACACAAAATTTTCATTTCATCACCAAGGCAATGATATAAAATCATTCCACAAGTTTTCCAAAATTCACATGTAGAATAGTTCACAATTTCAAAACATTTAATTGCAACTCCAAACATCAACACATATATTATATATATGAACAATTCACATACACACACCCACACATTTAATATAAAAAATCATCCCAAAAGAAGTAGTAAACTATTCATCTTAATTTCTAAAATTCAATTCTAAACATTTTTTCTCAATTTCAATGCAATCACCACCTAATCCAAAATAACATATAAAAGTCAATTCTTTTTCTTAATCTCGTCGTTTCGCGATTCTATATTTAATCTTTATACTTCTTTTCCATTTATATATACTTAATATATATTTTACATATAAATCTCCTTTCTAACATGAGACAATAGGATCTGGAAGTATTCTGGGCTGTTTAAATTTTTTTTTAAAGTTTTAGAGTCAAATCATAATTTTTAAAACTTTTGGGCTAAAATATAATTTCATTGAAAAACAAATTTTCTGTTTTCGAGCTTGCCATAAATTTTCCAAAATTTTGTTCTTACCAAATAAAAGGGAGTTTCTGCAATTTTTTGGAATTGGTCTTCTTCTAGAAACAGAACCTGGACCAGTATTCCTTTCTCCTTTGTTTTCAATTTAATGGATTTAATTTTTTTTATAAGATAATAATATACCTAAAGTTACGAGACCTTCTAAAACTTTGGAGCCTAAAGGCTAAAACCCATGCTTTTTTTCCCATAATGTTGAGCCAACCCTGCAAGTGAAGTTTAAATTTGAGCCCAAAAATCACTTATGTTTTTAATTTGGTACTGATGTCCTATCTATTTGACTATTAAACCATATATTATAAAAGATATTTTAAACACGTAGTATTCTTTTTGAGAGAAACAAAGTCCACAACATATTTTGAACGTGTAAAACACTCTCCATTAACTTAAATGATAAAAATAATTATTTCACTTTGGTACATAAGAGCAAAAAAATAATATGCATAATTTTAAACATTAAGTAGATAAGATATTTGTAGTCGAAACCAGAGAAATAAAAAAAAAATTAATATGATACATATACATCTGTCATTAAATGTTATTAGCTATAAGAATATTTTTCTATTAGAATAGAGAGTCCATTAAAATTGTCAAAAATATTTTACACTACTTTAAAATTTTATCAAATATGCTCTTTAATTCAAAAAAAAAAAATACTCTGTTTAGAGAATACTATTAGAGATGCTCTTATTTCAACATCAAAACAAGAATCTCACTATGATCATTTAGGAGGCTAATGTGGCAGCTCCTAATAAGTGTTTAATTTGCCGAAAGCCACGGCAGCTGTTCCCCAATATATATTATTATTCCAATAATTATGTTCATAATTTGTGTTTTTTACATAATATCAAGTTCCAAGACAAGCTTATATGGCCAAGAAAAAGAATGTGAAAATACCTGTATTGTGAAAACTTTCAATTTGGCGAGTCAAGAGAAGAAGATCCAACAACCGCAGGAAGTAAACAATTCAAAAATCCCAAGTCCATACCTTTACCAGGTCAGGCAGCCTTGAGTCCTAGAGTGACAGAGGGTGAAAATAACTGGGGTGTCTTAAAGACGAGGTCTGCAAGGCAAATTTGGGACAGGTGGTCTGAGAGCCGATCCCACTCCAACATTGAGTTGGCTTTACGTATTCCTTCACAAGCCCACCTGTACCAAGAGTAAAAATACCTCGCCTTCCCAGTAACGGTAGGTTACCTGAATAAGTCATCACATTATCAACCCTAATGACATGGTTCCACTTTGAACAGAGCATTGACCTTCGGAAGACAACTCTTGCCTCTTCACTAAAAGATCTTGATCTCTGCAAGACAACCCCTGCTTCTTGATACATGACCTAAAAAGGGCAATAAATAGCCTTTTGCAGTGTGAATCTAAATTTTTCAGTGTTAAATGTTTGTACGTGGACAATGGGGTGAGAACACTCTTCAGTTACAACAGAATCAATGTCAACAACAAAAATGAGGACAACGCTAAAAGATGGGAGCACCAAGATCGTCCTCTACCTTATTATCTTTGCATATCTTCAGAAAATGGAGCTGAGCTCGCAAGTGCAAAATCTGTCATATCCATTAATCATCATGAGAATCTACCATATAAAAATATCAAGTCAACATAAAAAAATAAAAATAAACGCATGTACATATACTTCTAAACAAAAATATGTATCATGCAAGGGGGGAGGAGGAGGTATCTACAAACAGTAGTGCACAGTTAAGTTTTAGAACCACCGACAGAAATCTGGAATATAAAGTACATAAGATATATATCATAAGCAGCCCAAAACTTTGAAAAGAAAAAGGTCACAGAAGACAAAACATTAGGTGTCCAATTTCCAATTCCTTAGCAAGATGCCCACATTCGATCTGTCACAGTACCATGGACATAATTTTTAGGAGGAACAAGTCAATAAAGAGATACCAGTTTATCTATGATAAGGTATCCCCAAATTTACATTTCTCATTTCAGAAGGAAATAGTGGTTCAAAATTAAAAAAATTAAATAAAGAAATCGTATCGAGAAGCAAATGAGCAAGTCATTTTTCCCTTTACATAAACATATTCCCTAAAATATAAGACAGAAAACAAATGCAAATGTGAAATAAGTACCTCTTCTTGAAGCAGAGTAGGAAGGTTCTCCGTTGAAACAAGATTATGCATTTCCTGAAGCAGCTTCTCCTCTTTGATGCCAGACCACGTTTGTGGTGGCAAGGCCAATAAGAGTGCAGTCAGTACATCATTGTTCGCCGGGTGCATCCCAATGCAACCACTTGGGCCTTGCCCACTGCAACTCAGCTTTATTTCAGATGAAGGGACTAGCACATCCACCCCTTGCTCACCATTACCATTGACCACCCTTCCAGACACCACTGTGACAGGTTTGTCTCCATTTGCCTTCAGACATTTCACACATGTTTCCTGACAGCAGAACCTATCAGAGGATCCAGATCTTCCTGCTAAAAACCCTGCTCCCTGGCTACAGACACTTGCTGCAATATCAGATAGTGTATTCTCATTATTCCTGGTTGTTATGGTTCGGCAACATGACCTTTCTGAACTTAAGAACTCAGTCACATGCTTATAAAGACTGGTCTCCTGTACTTGTTGTAATACCTGTTCCTGCAAAATGAGAAGTAGGGATCCATAAATTCAGAAGGAGCATAATGTGTAGAATTAATGCATATTCATCCGAGTCCAAACAGGGAGAAGTAGCAAAAAAAATTTGACGGTGAGCATCTTTTTTCCCTTCAATGTAGGTACCTTAATGGCAAGTCTTCCTTTCTCTTCATCACTTAGACTCTGACCACTGTCTTCTTGTCTCCGAACTTCTGCTACCCACTGGATGAATTCTGCAAAATTTGACGCCGGGGCAGTGAAAATGACAGATAGAACACCCTTGATGTCCTTTACATCCTCCGACCTCAATAGAACGGGAACATCATCCACCAAAAACTTTGCAGTATTGACCCAACTCTCATGTTTACAACTCTGCAAAGGTGAAACAAAGTCCTTTACATTGAAGTTTCTTTAATAAAACAAAGAAAGTCATGCAAAAACCAAATAAAGACCACAGATAGAAATTCCCAAACCAGAAAAAATTGGGATGTACCATGTACAGGACAAAGTTAGGTCCTTTGATTCTAGAAGATGTTCAAATGTGTGGCATGTGCAAAACCAAATTATCCAATGGATATGTCATTAGTTGCTGTGAGCAAAGGTATTGGAATCTAGGTTCCATCTCAAGGACAGAACCAATAACAGTGTGGAACATAACTTTGTGGTAAAATGTGAACTAACTTTGCAACCAACAGCAGAAAAAAGAGATAAAATAGCCACTTCAGAATGCTTAAAAAAGTACTGTGCATATCAACTCTAAAACATAACCATTTGGACTAGACTATTCGAGCAACTGATCTACCAAGCTCAATTTGTCAGTTTAAAAGATTTTTCTGAATTAAAACAGTTGAATGTGAGTGGGGGCTGAAACTTTAAACATAAACTAACTCCATGAAGAGCAGCCAATTCCCCACCAGATAGGCCGTGAAACAAATATAAACCAACATGGCAAGAAGATATGTGAATAATGCTATTGCTAATTCTTCCAATAAGCATGATTTTTTCCTAAGGAATTGTATAAACAAAACTAACTGCAAACTATTATACATACCAATTTTTTTCTAAAATAACAAAAAATATCTTCAAGGAAGCAACTATTGGAAGACACTTCGAGCACTTTACTCCCTTTGCACCTTTCAACCCTAAATAATTTGCCATCAACCCTCCATTGAGTGTAGACTTAAAACGTACCAACTAACCAAAAAGGTAGTTCAGTGCCCAAGGCTCCTAACTGCAGAGTCTGATATACGAAGTTTTACCCTTGTATGCGGAAAGCTTGTTTTCCCTGACACGAATCCTTGACGCCCATGTTACAATGCCGTATCCGTGTCCTATATTTTTGAACTTTGACTTATCCCCATATCCATATCGTATCAGATACAACACCAGTATCCGTATTTGTGCTTCCTAGGCCAAGACCCACCCTCAAAATCTACCAAACTAATAGAATTACTTTAGATTTCTCCAAAATCTAATACCCTTAAAACTTCGTCAAATGCATGAAAATAACTACTTTGAAAGAAAGAAGGGCATTTAAACATTTCAAAGGCATTGTTTACTTTTTCGTATTAACTATACAATGGCAAATTTTATGCATAAAAAACCTATTGCCCTTTATGTCATTTGGGGGTGGGGTGGAGTGGGGGATGATGAGATAGGCAGCTCACTTCATGAATCCAAACAATTTAAGGATTTCATTAGCAAACTAAAAATTATTTTCCCCAATAGGTAGCATTTTTGACAATTACCAATCAATTCTTGATGATTCTTGATTATATACCATGAAACTAATTAGATCCCCCAAAAACATATCAACTAATATATATTTTTAAGTTACTAGTATATTACTCATTACAGCAGCAAATGTTAACATGTTGATTGAGCTTAACAGTGGTTTGCTTACTTGCCTCCTGCTGCTCCGCAAGCCGGAGTTGCTCTACCACCCACCCACTTAAAATACTATCTTTGGATGAACCTAGTCCAGAATGAAAACTACCTAGTACCATCACAACCATGAAGACCAATAAGAGCCCTTTTAAAAAATGGCATACAGGGAAAAAAAAAGTTCTAGAAAATTTCGAAACTGCCACATTGCTTGTTTCCTTCAAAGAAATTACACATCTTTTGCAAGTTGACAAAAATGAGAAAATATGACAATCAGATATCAGTACTGCAATATGCTTATGCAGTTTAAGCAGAGTTTTGACACTATTATACCAATCACTTAAATCATACCAGGGTATACAGCAGCGCTGGTGCTCTGTGAAGCCTAGATATTAGCATGAACCTGGAAAAATATCAAATTTCTGAAGTGAAAAGGGACAATATCAAAAGACTTACATATACTAAAAACAATATCCAACAAATATAATAAAAAGGAAGAACAGTAAAATACAAATGGAAGGGAATACTCAACTGCAATGCAGGACAAAGGGAACAACAGCATTCACTACACTATAAGAAGACTAAATTGTAAAAGACCACAGCACATAAATTTCAAGTGTGCCTTAAACTTAATTTACTTTTTAACTCTAATGGGCATGGAGGTAGAGTAGTTGTATATGCTTAGTTTACTTCAGCAAATGTTAATCCAACAGGTTAAAAGAGGCTATCGTGTCCTCAGCCATTATTTCCATAGCATTTGACAATTCTATACAGATGTCAGCATCAGTAAATCTCAGTCAACTAGATCTCTCTATTAGTTCACAGTATTACTGGGTAATAAATTGTCTTCTAGTCAATGGCTTCAGTGTGCATGATTTGTTTTCAGCAACTTTGTCAAACTTTGCTAAACACTATTTACACTAACGGTGCCCAAGAAAAGAGACTAAGCATCTTATGAAGGAGAAAAGGTCATAAAAACAATCAATGGTCACACGAGTAGTAGTATCCTAACTAGTTGAAGAGCTTCAAGCAAGATATCCACTATCATCAGATGCTAACATTATATTCAACAATGAGAAGCATGCAGAAGCACGTACCCTCTACTTAGTCCAGTTGCTTCATCAAGAGTATCCATTGCTTCCCAAAGAAGGGCAAGTGGAACCCAATGAGGTGGATACTTAAAGCGAGCGACATCTAAAATCAGTGCCATATCCCTTCCAGCATGATAACCTCCAATAGGTGAAAAATGACCAGTTCCTGTCTGCAGAATGAATGAGAACAAAACTTCAATTAATTCTTTGACACCTCCTAATAAGTGGGACAAATCTGATAGAACTACCAGAGCTCAAGATACTCAGACAAGAGCAAAAAAGAGAAGTATTGTTAATATCCCCTGGTCAAGGGCATGGCTGGTGCATTGAAAAGCTAAAAGACAAAAAGAAGAATAATTATACTTAGATAATATTGCAGACATCCAGTAAAGCACCTTCTAAACTGAGAGGAGAATCAGGTAGGCCAACTCGTTCAAAGGGTATTCTCCTTTTTCCATTGGAAATTCCACAATTCGAGGACAAGGAACAGAGACATAAAAACTAAGCAATTTCTAGACATTGGAAAAATAAAAAAGCCTATTTCAAATTCAAAAAAATGGGTCTTAGAGACGATCCCCCTTAACTAATAAAAATAATTCAATGAGAAAATAAAATTAGTTAAACTATACTTCAATACAATCCCCATTAACCAATAATATGAGTTCCCCCAGAAATTGATACCCTACTTCACCCAATTCAACAAACTTGCACAGCATAAAAAATCAGTGACTTGAGATCAATCCATATCCATTCAAATCACCTAGCCCTCCAACTAAGAGTTACAAAATGACCCATCAACCAACATCCAATCTGCAAAGTTGGAAGCAGTTTGATCTAAGTACCTAAACATGCAATGCACCTACTCCAACACAGTTCAGCTCACTGCAACTTGTGACATGGATGATGGGACACACTATGCAGTGGTGATGTTACCAGCTGTAGCAGCAAAATACACCTATGTACTAATAACAAAGTGTCATAAAGCTCACTGCATTTCCAAATTCTTGAACTCAATGAGATGGAAGGGGCTACACACTATACCTCAACAGTGCAAGCCTATAACATAGGTAACAATAAAATGTTGAAAGTAAATAGAAAAACCAAAACAAGCAAAGCAGCCAGGCCTGGTAATTACCTGTTTAAAAGCCCCTCTATGATATGATGATATCACATGACAATCATCCAAAGTAGAACATGCGACAACATACTTACGAAAGTCATCAATGGTGCTCTGATTTGTGCGAAAAGCTTCAACTTTCGCTCCTGCACAGTGAGCCAAACATACAACCCTCCCAAAGGAGATGCCTTGAGCTTTAACCTTTTCCAAAGGCTCACAACAGTCCAACATAGACTCATCAAACCATCTCCAAGGCCCTGCAGAGAAAGTGTTGTCAGAACAAGACACATATTTGGTAAATAGAAAAATCTCAAAGTCGTGTATTAAAAAAGGCAAGAAACAAAATTCAAGGTTTAAAATTTTGTTAAGGTGTCCAGAACAAGAGAAAAAGCTCTTCACCTATACAAAATGGGCAGCCTCCTAAGAAGTAATATGCACGCATACACATCCCAGGCAACTCAAGTTAACAGTTACTGGTGAGCCCACTATAATTAAGCACTAAACGCAACGAAACATGTGAAAAAAACCTTCAATAATCCTTTAGAGATTTGGATCAAACAAGTTTACATAGAATAAATTAAGGACTGCTCAGTCCTCCATTCACACCGCCTGAGTAGGATAGTCTCATCCAGGTCCCAGGAAACTTAAAGTCCCAATCCTTCACAGAACAAGTAGGGCTGCTAAATAGAACACCAATACAACATGCCTACAACTACATAAAATGCCTTAATAATTGTGATTCACACAAGGAAAACAGTAGCAGCCCCCATCTCATGTCCAGCTTGTGAAGAAACAACAAAGCAAATTGTCAGATCAAGTTGACTACCGAGCACAAGAAGCCACGCCAGCAAAAGGACCCGTGAAACTTAGTCATATGAACCAGATGAATGGAGTCAACAGTGCACCCAAGATTACACGTCAAAGTTAATGATAATTGTTCTTGATTATGCGATTAACGCGAGCAACATTCAATCAGGAATAACCTTCAACCTATGGATAACGTCCAAAATTCCTTTTTGAAACTTATACATTACTTGGATCTAAAAAGGGATTCTGGAAAGAATTTTTCTGGTTCTCCATCCCATGTTGCTACATGAGATTCTTGCACATTATGCCCAGAACAATCTCCACTTTGCCAAACAAGAAAATTAATTAGACTATTCAATCATTTCAAGTATCTAATATTCTACCTATCACAAAAGGGCATAGTACCTATTGAACAGAGCAGAAAAAAAGAAAAAAGAAAGGCATGGTCGACAATCCTTTCCTCAAATGCTGTTGATAGCTAATTGCAAAAAGACAAATCCACCTGTTCAAGTGCTGCTGCAGATCTTTAATCACACGGTAAACTTATGCTGGCCTGGAGGGTTGTTTGTTTGCCCCACTTCTGCCTCAATGTAGAAGCAATGGAAAAGGTGACATTATTATTTTGTTCATGACATACCCTCCAGAGTTAAGATAAATGAAGTGGATTGTCAGAGAGGCATATGGAGGCTTATCGCACAAAACTCAGACTAGGTTCTGTTAACACTTCATAGCACAAAGCAAAATTAGGCACAAACAAGGCATGTCAAGAAGGACTCAAGGGCAAACTTTTGTTATATACTGTTTTGTTTTTCAGATTTTTTGGCTGCCATGTCTACAACAGGTGTTATGCAGGCAAGTGATTGCACTATGATGCTGAACATTAGTACTGTCATGCTGCTGCATCACATGGCACATTGTCATAAAACCTTCTGGCATCAAAGTAGGCACCATGAATCAAAAACATATTTATAATTGGCGACTGTTTCATTATCAAACTGCATTTAGATATCCTTGAAAAGAAAATGGATCATATTTTATAATCAAAGACTTATTTTTGGGAGACAACACAGTTATAGTTTGGCAAGTGAATAAATCAGATGTCTTCCAAATGAAGCAATAGAAACCTCTTCAAAGGACAGAACTTTCAAAAAATTAACAAGAATACCGTGGATAGAGAACATGAAAAGCAAGAAAATATCAGCAAGATGAACGATGTGGGATGGCCTGACTACAAATAGATGGAATTAAATTTAATTACTAGTTGGAAAAAGCTTAAAGCCTACATCTTCATTGAACACTACTGTACCGGATAAATTAAGAGTTACCTTTCCATTTTCTACCCGGATCAATAGCAAGAGCATTCAAGACCATGGAAAGGCTGGCTAACCCACAATATGCAGGCTCAGATTGTGTCTGAAAATAAGATATCAACTTGAAAAAACCTTCCATTGTTCCACTTTGGATGGCTTCCATGAAAAGTTGCTGCAATTCCAGTAAAAAGCAAGTAGATTAATGGCTTTAAAAACCTAACCAAGATTAAAAGAGAAACAAGTTTTTATAGTAAAAAGCATCTTTACATCACACCAAACAACCAAACACATGTGATATAGATACGTATTACTTTTGGAGCAGGCTTTCAATCGAAGAGGCCATTGGCTACACTCAAAAGTCTCAAATGCTGTGAGACTGTGGCCGCTGACCAGTGAGGTACTGATTTAATCTCTTTTATCCAAAATGAGTTGCAAGGACATCCATATCTAACACTTTCACTTCCAAATGTACACGTGCCAAAAACAATGGAATTACTATAAACTTGCTAAATCAAACATTTCATTCCACTCAACTCAACAGAGCATCAAGCCAGCTGCCTTGTATCGTCCACCATCTTGAATGATGGAATTCAATAAAATGGGAGGCATCTGAGACTAAGCTACTGAGGTTAAGGAGTTATGAATATTTTGTTTCAAGAATGCCTAACAAGAATAGCATGATTCAACTACTATCAGAATGCATCTAAACTCTGCTCATTCAAGGGACGTACATACAATGATATGAAAAGATAAATTTCTAAATTGTTAACCTTTTGTTTCTTTAAACATGTGGACAAGAATCCAAGATAAATAAAATAACTATTATATTTTAACACAAAACACGAGAAGAAACCAATGTGGTGATAATTTTGAAGCATTGTTGTTGCACCAACTTGGAAATATACTGCATTTAAAATCAACTCCTCACAGCAACAACTAATTGTTCAAGTCACATATTTTAAAGCCTATATGCTGTGGACACCAGCAGAATTACAAATGATAAAAACCTAAAAAAATACTGAAACTAACAGATTCACAAAATAGAAATGAACCCACAACAATCTAATAAGCAAATTTTAAAAGGTTGCTACAAATTAATTCCATGTTTTATAGTTTCCACAAATATTCCCAGTAATATTTTCTGAAAGCAGTTTATTCTACCCAACATTACAAACACACAGTGAGGTAGGAAATGAATTTCTTCAAAAAGATATCAAGATTGAATATTTGGCAAGAGCTAGAGGCATCTTATCATGCCAACTTCGCCACATAGTTACAAAAAACCCGTCAACTATTTCTAGCATCAAATCAGACATTACTGATTGCTTATCACGGCAATAAAGAACACGTACACAAAAAAATCAGTCCAGAAACAAACAAGGAAAGAAAAAGTACCAAAAGATCCATTAAGGATCACCGCAACTGAGACAATATCGATCAGATAAGACTATAAAGGAGAATATCAAGGAGAAAAATATAGGCATCAGAAAGATTACAACAAATTCAGATTATAAACCCTAATTTGAAAAGGCTTTAATCAAAATTGTACATCATAAATAGAACAGAGGTGATAATACAATTAAGAAACAAGGAAAAAAAAATGAAAAATGCACCCAAAGAACCATAAAAACCACAACAACTAAGAAAATATTGCTCGAACAGACGGTCAAAACTCGAACACATTAAACCCTAATATTGAACCAAAATCTGACAGAATCTTAAAAAGAGAAGAGAAAGACAGAGAGAAGAAAATGACCTTTCCCTCGGAAGAAGCGAAATCTATAGCAGGAGGCGAAGGGAGTATTCGCCTGTACAAACCAGCCATCGCCATTTCCGGTCTGTGCTTCGATTCAGACTCCGATCAGAGATCCTTGTGAAAGGGGTCTGTGAGACTTTTCTAAACGGAAGCGGGAATACACGATTTAGTACTGCCCCGCGTATTTCAACATTCAACAGTTTCAAAAAGGGAACTAGCGCGTTTGTCTTTTTATGTACATCCAAGGGAATAGTTGGTATCGTACCGAAAATTTCAAATATGCGGAAATAATTATAACTTTAATAGGATATTTCCTAATTTTATGGATTATTTACGACTTCACCGGTCGGTAGGCCAAAGAAGACATTGAAATGACATGTCAAATTTGTTAAACAATTCACTAAAATTGTAAATATTCGCAAAAAGAATTTTAATATCTTGTCTTACCTACCAACCGGTGAAGTTGTAAATAATTCATAAATTTAGTAACCATACCACTTAAATTGTAATTATTTTCACAAATATAGAATTTCGATATAGTACAAAAATCTCTTGGATGTACTGTTAGTCCTATCCTTTTATATTCAACTAACCGACATATTGGTTTTGTAAC